TCGGGTGAGAAAACTGACTCTGAGTAAGAAGCTGACAAATAAATAATTGGTTTTGTAATTGCACTTTAGATGCATTTAACTCACTAACTCAGCTGGAATTTATATGGAAATAAAGTGGGCTTCTAGTCATGCCAGTTGTCAATTTTGCGTAAAAATTTTAAATTACTTAAAGTAGGAATACGAATATAAATTTACAGATTAAAATTATAAAGTTTTAAGTAATCGAACAGCAAAAAATATAGTTTTTTATTGAAAACTGTTTTGCAATTAAAAAGTTGTATTAAGTTGTCCAAAAAATTTATATTATTCTTCCATTTTCATATTTTCAATAACAATTTATGATCTCATGCTACAAAACGAAATAGACAGATGCAAATATGATTAATGAATCCCATGTTGACTCCTATAAGCCTGAAGGATATCATATTGTAGGCCATCGCAACGTGTCGGACTCAACCTTCCTTTCCCAAATCGCTTTGTTTCACAACGATCACAGGTTTACCTTCATTCTAGCCCGATCAAATAATTCCGTTCCCAGACTTTCCATTTCTCGGTGATATTTTCAGAGCCAGTTTTTTTTAACAGTTCATTTACGTTTTTGTGATTTTATGGACCTGCCTTGCAAATCTTGGCGGCGGTTCTCAGGTTGGCAGAAACTCCCGCGCTCTGGACATGACGCAATCGGTTCGCATCCGTTGAGCTATTTCAAAACTTGTTGCAGGCTTATTAATTTGGCTCGGAGCACCGAAAGCACAACTAAAACAAGTTGATTTAGGTGAAGTCATTTGCGTGCAGCCAGACACTAAACACTGAAACCGAACACTAAACACGGCAACAGAAAAACAGCGAAACAACGAAACAGTTCAGAGATCAGCTCGGGGCACTCTGGAGATCAGAGTTTGGAGTCAAGTCGGTCTTCGGCTGTTTGTTGTTCGTTGCCTTATTTTTTTGTTGTGCCAAGTTCCTAGTTTTCAAGCCACGCCGCACGCCTGACAAATTTGCGCAAATAATAAAAACAGATTTTAAATGCCTGGAAATTGAGTCCGCCATTGCGGCCTTAAATCAGTTTCTACCCCAGCCAAACTGACATTTAGAGTTTTACTAGGAAACGGCAACGAAAGCCAAAATCAGCGCTTAAATGGAAAAAACTTTATGGGCTTTGACCATTTTCAGCGCATTTATTATTGTTAAAGATATATGTTTTTCTCGGCTTTAATTATATGTGGTGCACTTATTTATATGATCGTTAGGAAAGTAACAAATATATTGAATGAATATGAGACTTCCTTATGATTTATTTATGTTTTTATGTCGACAAGGTTATTTAAAAGCTTGGTTTGTGTAAAAATGTTTCTTTTTGCTCACAAATTAACCTTTATTATATTCAAACTAAAAAAAATTGGTTACTGGTGGTATCTATTTTGATTTTTGGTGCTTTTAAAGTGCTGTGGCTTTAAAAATGTTCATTTTTAAAATAGTTTTTTGCTACTATCAACATTGTCATTGTCATTTAGAACTCCAGAAGTCTGAAAAACGATTTTACACGTAATTCGGCCTCAAGGCTTTTAATAATTTATATAATGACTAGTCTGCTCTTTTATGGGCATATTAAATATATTTTTCATAGGCGCATCTGGTAATAAGACAGTATATATTTCCATAGTTATTCTTTAACCTTCCCGAATTGTCTTGTAAGCGTTTCTCAGCAGTATAAAAAGTTTTTAAATTATAGCACGCCCTAAAACTTTGGCAACAACACCGGAAACTCTTGCCCATTCGATATGCTTGATGGAGAAGACCCGCCTTAGGGAGTATATTTCCCTTCCTCAATTCGGGGCGCCGGCACCTCAATCTACATAATTCACACTTCATTGAGTTTCGGAATTTACGATAAAATACGCGGCTGCATTATCGTTACTCGAGTGGAATTCTTTGGGCTTCCCATTCATCATTTAACATTTCCCCATTCAAGTTCTCTGCGTTTTTCCATCAATTCACGCACTTTTTTCCGGCTCTGCCCTAAATGCTTGTGGCCCCTAAATCATCATGTGTGTCTCATATATAGTTCATAGTTCTATTCAGGGCACGCGTTGCATTGGTTCTTATCTGGTCAACTTTACAGACTGAGCAGAAGCACGTAATATTAATTAGCCTAGCTCGAGCTCATTCGAAAAACTCACAAATGAATGCCCAGCGATTGTTATGTTGTGCCTTCCATATACACATATACAAAAAAAATTCGAAGCAGTCAACTCAAGGGAATGTTTATGCGACACTTTTTAGTATGCAAAATGCAAACTGAAAAGGTAGTGCAAAAAAGAGACAAAACAGCATAAAACAACAGAAACGAGAACAACTGAAATTGAGCTTGACAAAGATATACAACAAAAAATTACAGCGGCTCGGCCTTTTCATGTTTCACACTTTTTGGCAGTCCAGCAATTAAATTGAAATTAGCCTGCATTGTGAGTAAATTAAGTGATTCACAGAGAGGTGCTGGTGGACATTGTCTCGGCAGAAACTAAAACAAAAGAACGCTAAGGGCCCGACTATCAGAACCCGTTACTCAGGTAAAGGAGGCGAGGAGATGGAGATAGAAACTTGATCACGCATAACTTTTTAACGAATGGTCCGATTTGAAAAATTTCTTCTACATTTCGATAGGTATTGATAAACACAATAAAACTGAATTTTTACTTTTCCGAAATATTTAAATTTTTAAAATCGTATATTAGCGATTGTGGGCGTTAAAGGGGCGTGGCACCTTTTGAAACAAACTTGCGCGCGTAGGAACTCCTAGAATCTGCATGCAAAATGCCAATCTTCTAGCTTTATAGTTTCCGAGATCTCAGCGTTCATACGGACGGACAGACAGACGGACAGACAGACGGACAGACAGACGGACAGACAGACGGACAGACAGACGGACAGACGGACATGGCTATATCGACTCGGCTAGTGACCCTGATCAAGAATATATATACTTTATAGGGTCGGAAACGCTTCCTTCTAGCTGTTACATACTTTTGCACGAATACAATATACCCTTTTACTCTACGAGTAACGGGTATAAATAGATCTTTAACGACTTTATATTATTATACGGCGCTAAGGGAAATTTGAAATGGGTGTATTAGGCAAGTTACATGTTAAAACATAAATATTGCACCTAATTTCATATGTATGTATCTCTGAAAGTTTAACTGAAGAAATGTAAACATTGGAATGTCAAATATGTTACGAATATTTTTCATATTGCAGTTTATGTCGTTTTATGCAATAATAATGGATTTGAGATATCTCTTTTGAATTTGTCCTAAGAAAATCAATTCAACAATCATTAACTAATTGCATAAATGACCATAAATGAGCTTTAAGAATTTCTTATTCACACTGGTAGTTTTAGTATCAATTAATTTGTACTTGGGAAATAAATGCTCTAGAAATTAATGTACAACAAAATAAATCGTTTTAGCTATTTTTAATAATTAGTCATAACTTTAAATAATTTTAGCAGTTTGAATACCAGTTTTGAAGTTCTCAAAATATTAAACGTGCTACGTGCATAATGGAATTCAAAGCTAACCATTAGCCAAACTATTCAAATTTTCCCAATTTTAAGCTTATCATGTGGCACCACATCAATTAACACTTCAAACTTGAACTTGTCAGGCTAGAATGACGTCATCTCGGGTGGCAATTTGTGCAATAAACAATGGAAAGAACAACAATAAAAATCAGCAACCGAAAAAGCTCAAAAACGTCGGAAGCATCAGCAACAACAAAAGGACAGTAAAAATTAATTTAAAATTTAAATTCTTTTTCAGCCTTTGCCAAGCCAGTTGAAATATCACCGAGAAACTAACGAACCAAACAACTTCGATCGGCTGCCTAAGGGTTCCATGAACTCATAAGTTATTTATATGTATTTTGGGCATTATCTAGGGGCCACAACTGCTTTCTGGCCAAAAACTTTCGGAGACTTTGGCTTCTTGTCGAAAGTCATCAATAACAAAGGCGGGGGTAATAAAGAAAGAGACACGAAAATGGCAAATGTTGCAAGTGCAATATGGTTGTTGCAAGTGCAATTTTTGTGTGTAGTCTGGGTCTAGTCTATATGACGCCTTTAAAACGGAACCCGGTAACCTCTTAGGGGGATTTGTTCCCTCGGTTCGTTCCGGGCCATTTATTTTCATGGGAAGTGGTCGCGAATAAAGGAAAACGCCACCCAAACCCCAACCCAGCGACCTTGAGCGGGAGTTTCAGTCCATCGTCACCTCCGTCGCCTGTCTCTTTCTGGCCTGCTATCGCCCTCTCCCTCGCTCAGCCTCACGCACTTTTTGCAGTTCAAACTGGACAACCAGTTCGCAAACCAGTTCCTTGCACATTAAAAGCAGAAGAAGCTGAAAGCAACGCGGGGGCCACACTCGGAAAAATATCAATGCTTCTCAGTTAAGAATTTAGTTCAACCAAAGAACTAACTGATTATAAATAATACCATTCCAATATTATTATATTAAGTTATGTATAACATAACCAGTCGTGCTTATAAGTTCTTATTGTTTTTTTAACCAAAACAATACATTTTGGTTGGTAATCAGCATAACTAGTCTTTCCAAACTTCCAAAAATAAAATAATTTGTTTATTCGCCAATTAAAATCTTGTCGAAGTTGTTTGAGTTCCACTACACATCTTTAAATTTATATAATGCTTACAACTGGAAAACGGTTTACTTTTATATTAATGTAAAATATAATGGCTTTAAAAATCTCGCGAGCTTGAATTCTTATATCACTTTCCAGGTATTTTTACTATTAATAATTTTTACACTACATTAAAAAATATTTTTCTTGGTATGTGCCTTCTGAAAAAACCCAAGAAGACTTTAAAATTGACCTTTAGCTTTTTCATTGTACCGCACTTTCATTGTAAAGTAAGAAAGTACTTTTGCGTAGTCTCCTTACACGGTATTTCTCGCCGTGCACCAATCGAAACTCACCTGAAATATCATATATCCCGAGTCGTACATCCAAAAGTCCTCGGGCGTGTGGCCGGGCTTGGTCAGCTGAATGGCCAGGCAGCGCTGCAAGATCAGACGGCAGCGCTGTGGACCACCGGGTGACTTGGTGCCCATTTCTGTTGCCTTTTTGCTGGCGGGTTTCTCAGTTGGTTTCTTAGTTGCCTGGCTTTCCCAGATTTTTTGTTAACCGTCTAAAAATAACGCCAAGTTGAGGCTTAAGGATCTGGCACTGTGTGTATGTGTGTGTACGTAAAAGGTTCTTTTAATGGTCAAGCACTTGGGGCAGCAAGAACTACAAAAAATACAAAACCGAGAGGAGCGCGATAAGAACAAAACCCGTATTTGCAGAGTTTTATCTCTTTTTTCTTTTTGTTTTGCTTTCGACCTGGCTACATTTTATTTTTTGCACACTATTCAGACCGGACTTTTGTGGCTTTTTGGGGAATGAACTTTTCACATCAACATTATTATCCCAGCATCTCGAACAACGCGACGCCTGCGCACTAACTCACTCAGTAGTACTCAGTACTCGTTCAGTACTCAGTGAGTACTCACTCCCGCTGGCGAGCGATTGAATGCGAAAAGCGAACCGAACCGACCGAGTGACGAATCCAAACTGAAGTCGCGGCGCCACGAAATCGTGCTCTCCAAATCGCTCTGCCACCCGCTCTCTCTGGGGAGAGCGGCATTCGCGGTGAGCGCGCAGTCTCCACTCGCCAACCTTTTTGGAGACCTGAAACGATACAAAAAATCGGAGAAGCCGCTTTAAAACCTTGATTATTAAATCAATTAGGTGTAGCCAAAAAAAAATGAGAAAAAATACAGAATTCGTAAACTGGAGTTAGGCTGCTGAGATCGCAATCTTGTCGTCGCTCTGTCTGAGAGACAAACGGGCTCTGCTCCTAATAACATCATCACATCATCATAAGTCGTATCATTATCGTTAACTGTAAGCCGTGTTTGGCATTTGTTTTTAGCCGACAGTGGGACTTCCAAGACTTAAATTCCGATTTACAGAATCTATAGTTCCATATTTTAAAAAGTTTTTTATTGACAAAAATCATTATCAAACTTAATTTGGTTATTTTCCATCTAAATTTTATAACCCAAATCAATAAATGTGGGATATTTAGTTTTTACATTTGTATACTACAATGCTTGTTATAAAAAAAATTAGTAATTTATGAATGGTTGTTTAACTAACTTCCATAATTATATATTCATGTTAAGCTAAACGATTCCTTCAAATTGCAATCTGTTTTTAATTAAAGAAAATATCCCCTTAAACCGACAAGTTTTTACCAGTAGTTTAAACATGTCCATAATATAGACACATCAAATCAGTATGTTGCGTCACCAAAAAACCATAAAATATAAATTTAAAAATAAGCCATCTTTTAAGACCCCACTGTATACTAATTTTTTTGGCATTTGTTTTTGCATTGACGACGAGTTACTTTTGAATTTTTGATGTGCCTTTCAGTCGTGGCTGGCGCTTGGAAGTCATTTCCTGCCCCAATTGCCGGATGTGCAAATGACTAAAAATGGGTTAATTAAAAACCATCTAGCAGTGATTTTATTTGGTCTGATGTAAAGTCATTTGTCCAAAAAGTCGTTCTCAATTCCATAGTTCACCTCTAGAGCCCTACGGAACACATATAATCAGAAATGGAGCCCGAGCCCATGTGAAATCTAGGAAATGTCAGAATAGTCACATCCATAATTGCGTATACGTCATGTGCGCCGACTGTCAATCACAATTCTAATGCAAATTCGTTAGCTTTCCGCGCTGTCCAAATGCATTAAGTGGAAATGCATTAGCTTGACTGTCTTTTTCTGTGCGTCAGACAAACGGAATTTGCATAAACAATTACGATTCAACGATATTACGCGATAAGGCGGCGGTCGAGCGAGATTTATTTTAATTTCCACCACCCGTAGCCAGATTTGTGGCACCATTCATCTTCCGAATTCGGTCAGAGCGCGCGCCACATCCATAACAAGAAAGTTTAGGGGAAGACAGGGCCAAAAGCGAGATTCGTTAGTTTTGGGGCCAATTAAATGGTGAGATCATCGCCCACATATATACGACTCTACCTTCACGATTCCCAGCCACACAGATCAAGTGTGTAACCCCCTCCCTTTTGGGCATTTTCTTTTTATTATTTATTTATTGCGGCTTGTATTTGTCGACCCATTAAGCGTCGGCCTTTGTTAGAAAACAAGTTTCTTCTGGCCACATTCCCAAAAATGAGAATTCGCCAGCAGCTCTTGGCTTCGTTTACCGTCTTTTGTTTGTCTTACAAATCACAAACATTATGAATTGGTGAAACGCTGGCCGAGCTCAAAAGGTGCTAAAAAAATTAGCATAAATTATTATTAACAATTATACCCAGCAGTCGCAGCATGCCCTCCTAAGAAATCCGACAAATTTATCATGTTCTGAAGTCTTTGCCCCAGGCTCTTTATTTTAACCACCCAGAGAAATATGTCAGCTTTGGTTTTTATACCCTTGCAGAGGGTATTATAATTTTGGTCAAAAGTGTGCAACGCAGTGAAGGAGACATCTCCGACCCTATAAAGTATATATATTCTTGATCAGGATCACCTCCTGAGTTGATATAGCCATGTCCGTCTGTCCGTCTGTCCGTCTGTCTGTCCGTCTGTCCGTCTGTCTGTTTCTACGCGAACTAGTCTCTCAGTTTTGAAGATATCGAATTGAAACTTTGCACACCCCTCTTTCCTTTGCACGCAGTATATAAGTCGGAACGGCCGGGATCGGCCGACTATATCCTATAGCTGCCATATAACTGATTGATCGGAAATGCCATAACTCTGCTGTTTGTTAAGTTAGGAAGTTGGGACTCTCTATGGGTATTATATTTGGCCAATCAATCCGACGTACCAAATTTCATAAGGATCGGCCGACTATATCCTATAGCTGCTATATAACTGATTGATCGGAAATGCCATAACTTTGGTGTTTGTAAAGTTAGGAAGTTGGGATTTTCTATGGGTTTTATATTTGGCCAATTAATCCGACCTACCAAATTTCATAAGGATCGGCCGACTATATCTTATAGCTGCCATATAACTGATTGATCGGAAATGCCATAGCTTTAGTGTTTGTTAAGTTAGGAAGTTGGGATTTTCTATGGGTTTTATTTTTGCCCAATCAATCCGACATATCAAATTTCATAAGGATCGGCCGACTATATTCTATAGCTGCCATATACATAACTGAACGATTGGAAATGCCATAACTTTGGTGTTTTTAAAGTTGGGAAGTTGGGATTTTTTATGAGTTTTAAGAATGCATCATATGAATAATTTTGGAGAATATAATTTGAAGAATATTCTGCAAAGGTATTTCAACTTCGGCTCCGCCCGAAGTTAGCTTTCCTTTCTTGTTTCTAAAGTAAATTGCAGACTTAAAGAATTTAACAGCCAACAAAAATATACCTGTCACCTAAAAGTGGAATGTTTTGGCAAAAAAGTTGACAAGGGTATTCAAATCATCGGACAACCTTTCTTTTCTGGTTTTCGTTTTTTTTGTCTAGCCGCGGGCATTACTTATACTTTGAAGGCTTCGGCTCTGATTCAGTAATTAAATTTGCACATAACCACGTTGAAGTTAGATTTGGAGAGGCTTTTTGGTCAAGAGACGTTTTGCGAATGCTCAAAACAATCCAACAAGTCCTTGACGTTTAGCCCTGAACTTCAATTGAAGAGCTTCATTATGTTATTAGAATTGTGCGAAAACAAATATATTTCGAATTATGAAATGACCAGCTAGAAGTAAACTTGAACTTTGATTTCCGGCTAAATGAAAGTTTTATTTACCAATTCTGACGCAATCAAATATATGTTTAGAGCAACTCGTGCTGAATTATCGTCTTTCAAGTCCGTTGACATTGGCAAATCGAAAACCTAAAATGTTAAATGCCAGATCTTTATTTTTGTCAAGGTTATACCACAAAACTTCGGGTTTTAACTAAATGTTAACACATTTCTGAGATTACTACTGAGAACGGGCAGGTTTAAGAATGTTTTATATTAGTCGGTTACTCTCTTATGTTTAATCATTTAAGAAAGAATTGAAGGAAGATTTAAATAGAATATTGTTTAATTTTCTTTGAAATTATTTAAAACATTTTCCAAAACATTTTTTTATGTCGAATTTTAGTTTACAAACATTTCTTTAAGATTCATGATTCCGATCTAAATATTCGTTCTTTTAAGATTTATTTTTGTCTTTAATTGGATTCATGCAACATTTTAACCACTCTGAACCGTCATCACCAAACGGATCGATTGGAATCCTTTTCTTCATTATAATGAGGCTTTACGCTGCCGCTCACCCACACCTACACCTCCGTCGATAATATTTGACAGCTTACTTTCAATTGCGACATCTAGTTAGCGCAAATTTAAGAGCGAAATAAAACAACACGATCGCATCGAGTGGATCGAACTGGGGATCGCTGGCTGACTGCATGGATGGATGGATGGATGAATGGATGGATGGATGAATAGCTTAATGAAGCAAGAGCCTGTTCCGCGGTTCGTGGTCCGTGGTCACTCAACGCGATGCCAGGCTCTTGGCACTCGATCCGATCCACCCGCAAAGCATCACCCAAAAACCCCCCCCGTACCGCTTCATATTTCAGTTTTACGGTTCAACGACAACGACTTTGCGCAGTTAGCGGGGTTTCTGGAGGGAAATGAGGAGTCGATCCAATTGCCGCAATGTGGCAAAGCAATCGATTTAAGCGCCGCATAAATTGAAGCCGGGGCTCCGACTTCGAGGAAAACCAAAAGGTTCCTCCATGTACAACATGATGAATTGTTTTCTTTGTCGACTTGTCGACTGTTGCGCCGCTTGTGGGCAACTGGAAACTGAAAACTGAGGCAGAAAACTGAGAAAACTGAAAAAACTGCCAACTGGCAACTGAAAACGGGCAACTGCAAGATCGCTGAATGATGGAGTAGAGCTGGGAATGAAGTGGGAGGAGGAAAAGTGGCGCGGAAAAATTGCAAATTGTATCAAAAATTTAAATTTTCGCTTTCATTATGCGGCGGCAGCTCGCCTCGCCAGCGCTCTGCTAATAGACCAACTGCCATTGTGTTTCTTTCTTTTCTCCTTGCCTGGTTTATATCTTTTCTTTGGCAACCAGGCTTTTCCCTATTCAATTTTGACAGGCGCGTTTTTACCCAAATAATGAGCTGCATTTGTGGAGAGGAAAAATGAGCGAAATAACTTAAACCGTTTGAATAATGTTTGCTTTCTCGACCGCCTAATAAGGTTTTTTACACCAATCAGACACACTTATTTGAGTGTTCTCAGTTTGTTTACTATGCGTATACGTAATAACAAATTAATTGCTTACACCAAAATAAAAATAAAATGGTGAAGAAAAACTTAAATGTATGGATCAGGAAAAAGAAAAGTTTTCTTCTTCAATCGATCTTTATAGATTCTCACTATGCTTTGACGTTACAGAATAATATTTTTTATTATTCAAAAATTAATTAAAAATTAAAAAAACTTAACTCTTAAATAAAAAATTATTCCGCCCCTCGGCTAACTCCGAAAATATTTCAGTAATTTAAAGCTTTTCCTACCGCATTATTAGATTTCTTTTCCCTAATCAGACATAATTATATGACCATTCTCATTGAGCCCACCGCTCGTATACGTGATGTGAATTTTATTTGCATTTCAACTGATGA